CTCAGCCAAAATTGACCTTCATGAAAGTGCCACCTGAAAAATTATTAGATCCTTCATGCATCATCAATAAATCTCATTATTGTAATAAGAATGTATATTTTTTTTTATAATTCAAAATAATCAAAATCTCCTAATAGAATCTCATATATATTAAAGCTATACTTTAACACACACACACACTCCATATATATATATATATATATATATAGAGAGAGAGAGAGAGAGAGAGAGAGAGAGAGAGAGAAAGACTTAAGTATGATAGCTTTTTACCTTTTCATTCCTTTTTTTTTTGGACATTTAAGGCTAAATAAGGCAAATTCATGCACACATTTCACATATGTAAGACTCGAACTAAAAACCTCTAATAGATAATCAAAACTTTCAACTAATAGATCAAACTGATCTACAATATTTATGACTTTAGTATTTGATAAATTATTTTGTGCGGATAGCCGGATACAGACGTCGTCCAGAGGAGAATCAGAACATGTCACGTCATTTTTTTTGTTGTGTGTCAGGTGGACACCTCAGGTGGGGTGTCCACCTGACATGTTTTAATTTGACTCATGACGATTCGATGTCCGCACAGAATAATTTCTCTTAGTGTTGAACATAATGGTTGGCTGATGACAACAATAATTATTGCCATTTGAATTTTGTGAATTCATTCCATTTGTTTTCTTTGATGAATACACTCAACCTTCCACTTGCTCCAAGAGGAATAATGGAAGACCAGAGAGACAGCACAACGTTCTCTTTTTTCCTCATCATTACCACCAACATATAGCTTGTAAGTGCCTGACATCGATATTGGCGCAATGTCTTAGACCACTTGCATAAAGACATGCAATACATAGAAGTTCTACAAATAAAATAGACCAATACAAATCACTAATTGAATCCTTATTTACATGCACTAATCCCTAAAAGGTACGCATTTTCTTGTAATTTGGTTGGTAAAAAGTTTTCATTTTGAGATACGCAATAATTTTTAATGAACAAAGCCATTACTTTCCTTAGAGATGCTGATTTCTAATCACTAATTCTTCGAGAAAAAATTTGAAACGAGTATATACGTTAAAATGTTAGAGTAGTTTCAGTGATAGAAAAGATTAGAAAGAGTCATCATAGATGGTTTGGTCACATAAAACGTCGGCCTTGCGATAGCCCGACTAGGAGAGTAGATATATTAGATTTGGCTTATGTTCATAAAGTTAGAGGTAGACCTAAAAATAATTAGTTAGAAAATGTTAGAAATGATTTTTTATTAGATTTAAATAAGAATTTGACTGTTAACAAGCACAATAGAGAAAAGTGATTCATGTAGCTAACCCCACATAGTGAGATAAATGCTTGATATCGTTGCTGTTGTTGTAAGTATTGAAATGTAAAGCTTCATTTGTGATAGCTTTCTCACTGCTTTTTAAAATAAATTTTAGTTAAAAAATAAGAAATTTTTGTATTAGAAAGTTGCTTTTGAAAGCAATAAAAAAGTTGCCTCAAATCAAGTCTAATGTTTCGTTTGAAACAGCTTTCTTCCTGGATTTTAAAGTAACTTTTTAGTAAAAAATTAATATTTTTATTAGAAAACTACTTTAGGAAGCAGAAAGAAAACCGTCTCAAACTAAGCTGGAATCTCTTATAGGTGATACGTGATACCTGAATCTTGATAATTTTCAAATCATCTTTTCAACTTCACCGAATTCACAAGATTAATTAGGACAAGTATTTTCCCAAAAAAAAAAAAAAAAAAAATTAGGACAGTACTGTTTGATAATTGTACTTCACCAATACAAAATAGTCATGTCATTCTCAAGGGGCAAACGAACAGTCATTGCATTGACAAGACTTTATAGCTAACATGACAACATTATGATTTCTTTGGCTTCCAGAGAGATCATCCCATTCTCCTAAGTAATCATTATAAATATATTTAAAATACATTAAATAAAAAAATAAAAAAAAATATATTAATGAACTTGCTCTTATCAATTATTCGATCAATTATAAACATGCAGCACCCATCACTATTATGCTTCATATATAGAAAGAGTAGAATGCATCAAATTCTTACTAAATAATAATAATAATAATAATAATAATGATCTAACTTGTTGAATCTTAATTTATCCGCGGTGACATTTGACCTTACTAACAAGTGAGTTTTATTTTTACTCTTCTATGTAGGGGCGAGTTTCTTGTGCGGAATGTGTACAAATAAGTAAAGATAGGCGTGTGTTAATGGGCTCAAACTTAGAATGATGTCGCTAATTAGCATTGTGAAGTAGTTAGCCTTTTGATGGAACTCTAGTTTGCTATGATGTATACTGCGAATCTTTTTTACTCGAATATGATCTATTTAAGATTATTTTCTTAAATTTTTTTCCTTATGTATAATCTTCTTATTTTTTATCAAATATCCCAAATATTATACTTAATAATTAATTTTTTTAATAGAAAATGAATAGTGGGTCGGTTAATTCGGGTTGCTAATGGGTCGGGTTCGTATTGATATTTTTAACTCGTTTATTAAACATGTTTGAGTTGATTGGATTCTATTTAGGTCATTTTAGATCAGATTCAAACATAATCCATCAATCTATTTTGACATCCATATTTTTAAGAAATTAAACACATAAATCAACTTAGTACAAGAGATTCAAATTATAGAAAATACATATCATTCTCCTAAAAAAATTATCATAAATATATCCAAACTACTTAAAAAAAATAAAAATAAAATATAAATGTATACTTAGTTCACCATTTACATCTACATAAAATTATAAAATATAAGTTCGCACCAAAAAAAAAAAAACTGCTGATGCCTCTTTTGTTCTCTAAGTACTTGACTGCATTAATATCAATGCATGATAATTTTACACATAGTTCACCATTCTTTCTGTAATGAGTGAATCTAATAAATGCAAATACAGGAGAAGGTTGGTCTCTTTAATTGTGCAAAGTGGAAGAGGTGGGCCTGTTACAGTGATTGAATACTGTGAATTAGATCCATCAATGGCTTCTGAGATCCATCAGAACACAGACCTTCATCGGTATTATTGGAGTGCTGTGCATAAATTTTCCTTCATTCACCTTTTTGCAAAGCTTAGAACATTGATCTGATGGCTAAAAGATCATATACAGTGCTTTGATAATGAATTCACATGCAGCGTATAGCAGTGACTGCTGAATCTATTATTTTCTCTTTCGCTACTCTCTCGGCTCTAAACGGAGACCGCCCGTGACATATATTTATGTCTTTAAGTTCTAAGAGTAATATTATTTGCATTCTTAATTTTGATCTTATAGCTCCTCTTGGCTCTGGTAAAGAGACGACAAACATAATTATTTTAATGTATTCTAACATTCCAGATGAGATGACAAACAGAACTAATTTAATTTAGCCCCCTGCCCCCTTGAATAAAATTTCTGGCTCAGCCATTGATAAAATGTATAAACTCGTTCAAAACGCACACAAAACATCTGATCAAATCACACATCTTAATAAAATTATAAAGACATTCAATAACAACTCAATAGCTTTTAACTATAAATGATACATATAAATTTCAAACCACAAAAAATCATGTAGAGTTGAAAATCACATACTTGTAGGAATAGAGATTCTATCAAATCTGAATACACCAATAACGTAGGCTTTGTTTGGAACAATTTTTCTAATACATTCTAAAATAGCTTTTTAATATAAAAATATCTTGAATTAGAAATATTTGTACTAACATTTATTTGAGAAAACATAAGAAAGATGTCCCAAATGAGAAAAATTATTCTGTGTGGATGTCGAATACCGTCCGGAGACCAACCAAAATGTACTACATCACCCCTTCACTATGTACCGCGGCTCAATACTGCTCGGTATGGCTCGATACCGTTGACGTGATTGCACTTGATTCGCCTTCGAATGTAGAGTTGCATTCGGCTTCCGCACATAATAATTTCTCCCCAAATGAAACCTTAGGACACTTGATTTAAACTTTAAGGCCAGCGTTACGATCTCTATAATAGTCTATGTTTGTTTTCTTGGTCACTAGTTTCACCTTCCATAAGGAGTGAGCAAACTAATAATCTCTTTATGACATCTCTATAATTCATATCTATGTGATTTATTAAAGTTTTCTCCAATTACAAGGAATATCATCCTTTGTAATTTATGATTTATGATAATAAAATCATTTTGAATAGATTAGACACTCAAATTTTATGATTTTTGTTTATATTTTGAGTTTTCACATAAAAATCACATTTCTTTTATAAGTTTACTTATCTTATCTGTATAAGCATATAAATTTTTTATAGAATGTTCATATAATAAATTCTCCCTACTGCGCCAAATGTTTAATTGTATAATAATTATTGTTAGATTTAATTTGAGATAAATGTAATATAAATTTTAATTTATAAATCATTATGAATATATAATAATTATTTTTTTAATTTATTTTAAAATAAATTAATAAAATGCTTAATGCTCACTAGGGGTGTAAACGAGTTGAGTCGAGTCGAGTATTTGCCTTATCAAGTCTGGCTCGTTTAATCCTTAATGAGC